GTGTGTGTGTGTGTGTGTGTGTGTGTGTGTGTTCACCAAGCAATGGCAAGGACCAGTCCTCAGGCTGTAGCTAGGAGGGATGCTGGGGTTACATTTCCAAGGAGAAGACACCGTCCTGGAATGTCAGCATGGATGATGGATGGGTGGTCGTTCTTTCCCAGGCCTCCCACCCAGCCTGCTGTCTCCTGGCTTCATTTGCCAGGTCTGTATCTATGGGGAGTAGTTGAGGGTGCTTTTTGGCAGAACACCACCTCTGGAAACCATGCTCCATCTGTTTGGAGGAGGCAGATCAAAGGGAAGGGACTAGTGGGAGAGGGTCACGGATGAACAGTAATGATAGGAGGGGTGCGGAGGGATTAGGAGGCTGTGTGCTCTAGCCCCTCACTGAGCCGTGGGCTTAGGAGGCAGATGGCAGCTGCATTAAGTGGAGTAGGACTCAAACTGAAAGGAAAATGTCACCAAAAAAACCCCACAAAAAACAAAACAAAACAAAACCCACAAGCTAGGAAGGGCAGGTGGAAATTCATTGTTGGCAAAAACCACCATGAAGAATAGCCATGTCCTAGGACTCTTGGAAGGAAGGGCTCCGTCTCCCCTAAGGGAGTCCCCGTGTGGAGAAGTGCGTCTCTCAGCGTTTTTCTTCTCTACAGGAGTGGGTGGAGGAAGCCACGGGACAGCAGGACCAGACCTAGGCCTGGGCCTCCTGCCATTTATCAGGGCTGATGACAGAACTGCCCCTATTAGCACGCTGTCAGGTAGCAATCCTTCACTTAGCCCCACAGGCCTCGTAGGCTCGGAGGGGGCAGGATCAGGGTCCTGTGGCAGCCAGAGGGCAGCAGGGAGCTGGCACTGGTGTGAGCACTTGCTGTCTGTCCCCAAGAGAAGCCTGCAGAGGGAGCGCCACTAATTAATCCCAGAGGGATTGTCCAGAGGGGCCCTGGGGAAGGGGAAGAGAGCAAGCGGTGAACAGCCCACTGTGCCTTGCTTCCGAGCCTGCTGGGCACTTTGGCCTCCCTCCTGGCGCCCTGTTTGGGCACCAGGAGGGCAAGACAGCTGGAAAGTGACATGCTTGCAGTGTGTGTCCTGCAGAGAGCTTGGGCTTTGGCGTCAGCCCAGGACACATCTGACCCACCAGCCCCATTGCTACTGAGCTGTGTGACCTTGGGCAAATTACGTGTGCTCTCAGACCTGTTTCCCCGTGAGAAGCCGTAAGAGTATCAGTCTCAGGGGCTTATTTTTTCCCCCATGGTTTTATTATGAAAAATTTCAGACATACAGAAAAATTAAAAGGATTTTTGAGTGAATACATACATCCTTACCACTTAGAGTCTACAGTGAACATTATACTTGCTGTATCACGTACCTTTCTGGACTACTCATAGTGTTATTTTGAAGATGAGAATAACTAGTAGATGTGGAAATGTTTTGCACAGTGCCTGGCCCGCAGTAGGCACCTTTCTGGAAGGCAGGGAGGCAGAGGAGAGGCCCTGGTGGATGCTGTGATGGGGGCAGCGTTGACCTCCCCCTCCACTGTCTCTAGGACTTTGGTTTTTGCAGTCGGATCTCGGAGCACCTGCTGGATGTTGACGTGCTTTCCCCAGTCCTGGATGGAGCCCGCTGGGAGGTGAGTCTCTCTGGGTGGCATATAAGCCCCAGCAGAACCCTGCCCATCCCAGGGTGCATTTCTGGAAGCTCCCTCCCTTCTAATTCAATAGGGCCTGGCCCTGACTGTGCCTGAGATGGGCTGCCAATCATTCCTGCTCTTTGCTGCTAAGAATGAAGTCATCCTCCCTCCACCCTCCCCCCGCAACATACATCTATGTGTCCATCCGTTTATTTAGCACCTGAGGGTTGACCACTTGCTCATGTGCAAAATACATGACTATGGATTTCAAGGCATTTTACGACCTGGCCCATTCAGTCCCTGCAGGCTCCCCCTCAGCCCACCTGCCACACACCAGCCGCGCCCGCCACTCACCGCTCCCGGGGCATACCACCCACTTCCTTCACTGCTCCACCCGCCCTGCTGCTTCCCCTTTTGTCCTAAGCTCTTTCTCGGTCTTGGAGGCCCACCTCTGATGTCACCTCCTCCAGGCAGGATGAATCCTTCCGTCCCTTGGCTCCCCGTAGTGCTGCTGCTTCTGTTTTATGGTTCTTGGGTCTGACTCCCTCCTAGATGTAAGCTCTCTGTGGGGACATCTGGCCCCCAGAAAGGTACAAAGATGACTCAGACACAGATCCTGTCCTTACGGAGCCTTGGCTTCCTACGAAGCCAAGAAGGTCATCCTTTCAGACTCAGGGCTCCATTCCCCCATTTTTATTACGATCGCCCTACTTTGTTACCTATTTTACATTTTAGTTTGTTACATAGATTGGCCTGTGTGATTTTTTATTTTTTTCCTTGAAAGTGAGACAGGGTGTTCTCTGCTGAGCTTGGTGTGATTTGTAGGGGGAGACAGTGGTGAGTTGAACACTGGAAGGGGCGGGTAGGGGCGGCCGTTAGCTGCAGGCTCTGCCCAGGCTGATGCCATGAGAACTGGCAGCCCTGGCAGGAAGCCTTCTGCTGCAGGCACTGGGAGGTACTCCCAGGCAGCATTTCTATTTTTTAATGGAATTTGGGGGAGTTGGCTTTTAGTTCAGGCCTTGCCCTTCCTCGCCCATCCAGATGGTACCGTCGGCCCCAGCTGCCGGGGCTCCGGCTGCCAGTGGAGAGGCGTGGGAGGCTGTGGGTACAGGGCTGGGGACACAGCCATAGGCCAGCCCGGCCGGAACCCCAAGGGTGAAGATGGAGTCTCCTGCCCTACCTCTCCCGTTAACCCTGATGTCCCAGAACAGATGGGGCTCCCGTCAGCGTGACAGAGAGAGCGTGGGTCCTCGGATGGGCACTGGCCCTGGTAGAGCTGGGTTTTTGTGCCTTAGGTTGGGGAGAGGGGAGGAGCAGGAACAGGGGGGCTGGCATTTGTGGGACGCCTTCTCTGGGCCAGGAGTCGGGCTTTATGTACATGAGCTAAAATAATCCTCACCACGAGCCCTGTGAGCTGCGGGTTACTGTCCCGTATTATAGTGGAGGAGACAGACTCCCCAGCTAGAAAGTGATAGAGCAAGAGCTCGAGTCCAGGCCGATGACACTGCCATCCCCCTGAGGCCCCACCCCTGCAGGAAATATCTGAACTTCTCAACAGTAGCCCTCTTTTTCACCAGCTTGCTAGATTTGCCTAGACACCCAAGCTTTAAAACGAGATTTTTGGGGGGCGGGGCACCTGGGTGGCTCAGTTGGTTAAGTGTCTGACTCTTGATTTTGGCTCAGGTCATGATCTCAGGGTTGTGAGATCGAGCCCTCTGTTGGGATTCACGCTGTGTGTGGAGTCTGCTTGAGAGTCTCTCTCTCCCTTTGTGGTCCCCCCGCCCCGCCATGAGATTTTGTTTTTTTGGGTTGTGGTTTTTTTTTTTGGATACATGGTGTAATCAGTCCCTGACTGGGAAGGGGGCATCGTTGGCTACTGATGGGACCTGGGTACTTTGGGGGGTCCCGAAGTGAAGCAGTGGAGCACCCTATCTTCCTCCCTTCGGGTGCCCAGAGGGTATCCTTTCTGTCTGGAATATAGCGCTCTCTCCTTTCACCACGTCCCCAGCTCTCCAGGGTCCTTCCTCTTCCACGTGCTTGGCTGCCGCCTTAGTCACTTCTGCCCATCATCGCAGTGCCCCTGTCCGTCACTGGTGCTGCAGGGCTGGGCCTCTGTGGATTTGAGGGTTCACAGATGTCTCAGCTTTCTCTTTGCAACTGCCAGCGAAGGCTTCCGATGACAGGAGGCAGGATTTTCTTTTTTGTATGTTTTCTCCTTTAGCCTCTGGCTTCTGGCTCTGCAGGCAGTGGCTGTGGCCTCTGGCTCTTCCTCCCTGGGCCAGCCAGGCCAGCCCTGGCAGCAGCTGTGAGCCTGGGGGCTTAGCCAAAGCCCTAGGGGGGCCCATGATACAGTAGAGGGGCCTTCTCTTCTGTGTCCCGAGTGGTCATCCTACTCAAGAGCCACCTCTCAGTACTTCCTCCTAGGTGCAAGAATTGGTTGGAGAATTAAGGCACCCAAATGCCGACCTCTCCGATACGCACTTTCCCCTGCTCCTTGCCTACAGGCCCAGAGGCTGGGAAGAGAAGACAAGGATGGCAGCCAGTCCAGCCAAGATGAGCTGCAGAGCAAGCAGTCCAGAGGCTCGGAGAGGTACAGTACGTGGGAGGCCGCCCTCAGGGACCTTGGGGATGGGGTGAATTGGGCAGAATGCCTGGCTCAGCGCGCTCCCGCCTGAAGGCAGATGGTGAGCTGACCGGATAGCCTCGCAGGGTCTGTGTGCGTGCGCTCACGCGTGTACACGCACATACCCTCAGATTCTGCACCGAGACAGGAGTGTGGGTACATTGGGTGGGACTTTGTGCGGCGCTGTGGGCCAGGGCTGGCGGACCTGGCTGGAGGGTCCGTACCGCAGCTCGGAGCTGTTGCCCTGCCACATCAGAAATGGCTGCAGCCAACTGTGTGCGTGCACATGCGAGAGACACACAGACAAACCGGGAGGGAGAGCGGAGAGACTGGGAGAGAGAGACAAGGCCTTCCAGCTTCTGAGGCTGGAGCCACAGTGAGAGGAGAACTACCACCCTGGACGAGGAAGTGGGGCAGTCATTCTGCTTTTTGAGCCTGGAGGAGCTAGCAGCCTTCCTACGAGCTGCAAGCTACAGCTTCGTGCATTTTCTGTAGTCTGACCATTCCAGTCTGGCTTCTCTCTTTCTCCCTGTTTTCCGCTCAGTTCTTCCATCCCCGCCTGGCCTCAGTGATGGTGAGCGCTGGGAGTGGACACAACCGTGAGAGGGCCCAGCTCTCACCCCGGGACGGGCAGATGCAGCGCAGGGACCCGGGAGGGCAAAGGGAGAGCTCGGTGGGGAGGTTCCCTTTCCTGCTTTTCTGGCTGCTTTGCCCTCCGTGGCTCTCCGTGGATGTAGGGCCGGGGCTGGGGCCCTGTCTGGGAGGAGGAATGGACCCAGATCCACATACCACACTCTCTAGTTCTCTCCCTGCTCTTCAAACAGTAGGCCTTACTCCACTGCTCTGGCTGGTCTGACCAGGTTGTCTCCTCCACTTGTGCCTGGGAGGTGGCGCCAGAGTCCCCTTCACAGCCAGGCCACCGAAGAAGGGCCTCCGCAGGCCTCTGAGGGGCAGCCCAGGCAGGAGCAGGCAGAGGAGCCTGGGGAGGACTCTGCAGTCAGCCCCGTCCCGCCCGGTTCCCTGTGGAGGTAAGGGGGAGCTGGTAGCCCTTCCAGGCGTGTAGTTGTGGGTGCAGAGGCTCAGAGTGGCTGCTGGGGGTGCCTGGAGAGGTGCGGAGCTGGGGTGGGTTTGCAGGTTTCCACTGAGTGCCCCATGTGAGCTGGGGAATGAGGAACCTGCTTCTTCTTAGTTCTTAGTCTACAGCTAAAATTGGGGTGCACCATCTGATTAGGGGAGCCTAGAAACTCTTGAACAAGGAAGCATCTCTTGTGATCCAGCTGTCTTCCTGCTAGGGGCTAGGGCAAGACTGTCTCCCACCTGGGCTGTGCTGTCCGGGGGGGGGCGGGGGGCATTTGTCCCAGTCCCCACCTGCCCATGCTCCCCACCTGCCCATGCTCCCCACCTGCCCATGCTCCCCACCCCCTAGCAGTCAGCCCACTTCTAGTCCTACACCAAACTGAAGGAGAGCCCCATTGTGTGCGGGGCCCCCTGGGGGAGGGAGGTGCAGAATCCTAGGCTTCCCTGAGGCTAGCTGAGGGGACCTTTGTGCTCCAGCTGGCCCAGAGCCTGGCTTGCATTTGCTAGTTCTTCTGTTCCCCCGGTGAGAGGAAGATGCTGGTGTCAGAGCCCATTCAGTTGGAATGAGTCACTGGGGGAAGCCGAGCAGCAGCAATGTTCAGTGTTCGGTCCACAGCGTCCACTGACTACCTGCCGTGTGCAGAGCTTCTCCTTGGGCGCCGTAACCCTTCCGCAGCCCACGTGGACGTGTCTGTGGCCTTCAGTGTAAATAGCCGGGGAAGAGGCGGGGGGTGGGGGGTGGGGGGGAGAGTGAGGCCCGAGATAGGGACACTTAGTTGGGGCTGATTTCCCTTGTCCTCAGGGCTCTCTGACCCTGAATGGGTGCATCTAGAGCCTCTTGCCTTCCCACCAACTTTAACACGGTTGCTTCCTTATTGCTATCAAGGGAGGAGACCCCAGACCCACCTGCCGCCCACGAGAGGGGCAAGGAGCAGCGCTCCCAGGTCACGGAGCTGGGCCTTGGGCAGGAAGGGGCCAAGGAGCCCGAGGAGAAGGTGGCAGCCGGCCCTGCCCCGCCAGTCTCTCCAGAGGCGTAAGGGCCAGTGTTAACGTCTGTCCCCGTCCTCCCTTGTGTGTGCTTTGCTTTAGTGCCCACCACTCTTGGGTGGTAGGGAGGGGGTGGGGTCGGGGGAGACTGCGTGTGCCCTTTGTTCTGTGTGCCGCTCTGAGACCCCCAGGCAGCTGTGAATGAAGGTGGACGTGAGGGCTAGCAGAAACCCAGTAAATCCTGTTTTCCCCTCTACCAAGCACTGGTTTTCGCTTTTTTTTTTTTTTTTAATATTTTATTTATTCATTTGAGACACAGAGATAGAGAGAGAGAGAGAGCATGAGCAGGGAGAGAGGCAGAGGGAGAGGGAGAAGCAGGCTTCCTGCTGAGCCAGGAGCCCGATGTGGGGCTCGATCCCAGGACCCTGCGATCATGACCCGAGCCAAAGGCAGACGCTTAACCATCTGAGCCACCCAGGCGCCCTGGTTTTCGCTTTCTTAGCAGCATTTTATTGAGGTATTTACATGAAAGTACATAAATCTGAACTGTACAAATCAGCACACGCCTACATGCAGATCAGAGGTAGAACATTTCCGTCCCTTCAGAAAGTTTCCTCACGCCCCTTTCCTCCCCGTGCACCGCCCCAGGTCACCACGCTTCTGGCTTCTGTCCCCTAGGTTCACCTTTCCAGTTCTCCAGCCTGACGTAAATGGAATTATACCGTATCGAGATATGCGTTTTGGGCCTGGGTCCAAGGCTCACCTCCGTTGTTACCCGCGCCCCTCTGAAACTTAGAGACCATTGAGCTTTCCTCCTCCCATTGTCTCCTTCCCCTCTACTGCTTTCACAGATGAGGAGACTGCGGCTCGCAGTGAAGGGATTTGCCCAACATCACATCGCTGGTGGGTTGTCTAACCGGGACGAGGCTCTGGTCGCTGGAGCCCTCGACTTCCTGCTCAGTGTGCGGCCACTGGTCCTTTTCTCTGCGTGGGGAGACAGGAGCCAGGGTTATGGGTTTGTTCCGTCTGTGAATCGAGCGCCACAGAAGGATTAGGAATCGGAGCTGACTGTTGAGTAGGGACAGGTTTGCGCCCCAGTTACTCACAGCTGGCGGGGGGCATGAGCTCCTTACTCGTGTCCTCACCACTGCCACACTGCGCAGTGATGCAGGGAAGGGGCAGCCCCGCGTTTCAGGCGGCGACAGCTCTGACACTGAGGAGTGACAGGGCTTTTCCAAGTCTCTTTGGTGGCTGTGGACACTGGGGCAGGGTCCTTTCTATGAGGACAGGAGACAGGACTCTCTGGGCAGAGGTCAGAGGGCATCTTCCTGGCAGCTCGGGGATGGAAGCTGGGCGGCGAGCCCCGTCCCGAGCTGTCTGGGCTGATGAGATGCGCCCCCTTACTTTGTGTTTCTTCTCCCAAACCGGTGAGGCCGCCCCGGCTGGGTCTCAGAGACACATTGCTCCACCACACAGATTCACTTTACTAGCACGCTTAGGGAATGTCTTCTGTTCCTTTCCTGAGTCTTTTTAGGCCCCATAACTTCCCTGTTACTCGTCTTCACAGTTACGTTTCTGTGTGTTGTGAGGAGTAGCTCTGTGTCTGGGTCTCATTTGTACCCGTGGGATTTTAATTTATGGAGGTGACTGACAACACAGGGCGATGCCATTAAGGAAGAATTTATTACTTACGTTTCCAGAGAGAAGAGGGCGTGCCACGCCATGCTAGGCCTCAAGGGGAAGGAGCAGGATGTGTCAGGAGGCAGAAGAGGCGAGAAGGGAGAGCATGGCCCAGAGCCTTTATTGGGGTTTCCATGGGAAGGAATGGGTGAGGCAGGGTAAGTACCTTGAGTGAGTGTGGGATTGGATAGTTTGAACAATATTAGCGGGCTTTGGGCTATGGGGGTGGCCCGCCAGTTGCCTGGTTCCCGGCAGACCCTGCGACCCTGCGTGATTTGTGATTTGGCGTGAGTTCTGGAAGGAGGTGCTTCCGGTGTGGCGCCCTGGGGGATTGGTTGGTTTGCATATGAAAGACACATTCCCTGCCGTCTGTAAGAGCCGGCTAGTCCTGGGACCCGCAGTCTCTCCTCTACCAGCAAACTTACACAGATACCAAAACATCATAAAATAACAAAAAACCAAAACCATGATTCATGGAATCCGTCGCCTTTCACAGATGTTGTCAAGCTGGATCAGAAGGAGTTAGGGGCAGAGGGCGGGCCAGCAAGCAGCCGTCCCTGTGTGCGCTCTGCGGCCTGAAGGCCTGGGTCCAAGAGTCAGGGGTAGCCTCCCCTTGGTGATCCCGGCACCTCTCATGAGGTGTTTGTAGAAAGGGGGTAAACGAATTCAAACCACTGGGCTGCACGTGAAAGGGACGGGATCTCTTTAATTGCAATTTTAGTGGTGGTGCAGCCAGTCGAGAATGTCCTGGGCGCCACCGCCTCCTCCCTCCCCACCGCCTGCCCTCCCCACTCCTTCCCTTCCTGGGCGGCCAGCCTGAAATGATGATGCCCCTACAGAGCATCCTCTTGGCCGCTGCCTGTTGGAAACTGGGTCTCCCTGATGCTGACACCTGAGGAGTGTCCTCGAAATCAGACCCGCCTCTTCCTCTGGAGGCTTCATCTTCCCTGTTGTCTCCTCAATCAGTCGGGCCGGGCCATCGTTGACGGCCTTGGACCAAAGCAGGGTGTTAGGGACACTTAGAGCTCTAAAACGGGGACACGGGGAAGAGCCTGCTGGAAACCAGCCCCCCTCGCCTGGGTGCTCGCCCGTGCGCGTTGCCTGGGCGCACGCTGCTGCGCCGTCTGAGGCCCCGTCTCTCTCCGCAGCATCTGTCCCTCGGGCTCCACTTAGCTAATGCAGCCCACAGGGGAGACAGACATTCAGAGGTACCGTCGCAGGGAAAAAAAAGATGTTTTCAGCCAAGGCTGGAAATGAGTTGGAGGGTTGATGTGGCGGAGAACTGTGGGGGGAGTTTCTCTCCGAGAGCAGAACTCTCAGAGGAGGTGGTGACCGCGTCTCTTAGATCCGCATCAGTTGGGCTGTGTCAGGGGACCTGGAGGAGAGTCGGGAACGGGAAGGGGGTTGAGAGCAGAAGAGAACTGAAGGCCTGGCCCAAGGCTGTTTCTGGTCTGAGTTAACCATTTTAGGAAAGGGGGAAGGAAAGATCTTAATGGTATTTCAGAGACGTCGGGAGCCTTTTATGTCTTCCTTCTCTCTCTCTGGTCTCAAGGGGCCCAGACGGAATTCCAAAGCCCTTGTTTTCTTTGCTCTTCTAGTCTGATCCCGGCCGCCGCCTTCCATCTGCTGCAGTGAGGGGAAAGGGGGTCCTGCGTCCCCTCTTCCACTCATGCGCCAGTGCCCCTTGGTGTGGACCGTGCCCATGCTGCTGAGGCTGACGGGGCCAGCGTGCCTGGCCTGCCGCGCCTGCGCACTGTTGGGGAAGGGTGGTGGTTGTGTGGCGAGACCAGTCTAACAGAAGATGAGGGACCTGGGAACGCACAGGTGCTGGCCTTTAGGAAAGCTGCTCCCGGAGGCGAAGTACTTTATCCCGCTTATGCTTTCGTGCCTCCAAGTGTTCTTGGGTTTCTTTCTGGGCATTTCCTTCAAGAACCCTCATTACTTCATAGACATCTTTTCCACCAGGACCATTATTCCTTGTCTTAGCCCCCACCTTATGCATCTAGGTTAGCGCTGAATTTCTTTTACCCATTTCTAAGCATGGAGTTAACTGAGCAGATGAAAACGTGGCATCATCAAGGAGTGATGGAGCAGGACATTCTTGGTGCACTCTTGCTACTGGCTTTGGCTGAGGGAGCAGTCTCCTGCCTGGCTCCCTTGGCCTTCCTGTGCTGGACCTCCGTGGACTCTTCTGGGTGTCAGGGCTAGGAGACTTGCTGCTGCTTCTCCTGCCAGCTTCACGAGCATCTGCCTGTGTTCAGTTTGGGAGGCAGAGAGCAGCCTCTGGGGACTCTCCGAACTGCTGGTGGGAGCCTCTAGTAGCAGGCAGAGCCCTAGTGGGGAGATGGGAACAGGGCCATGAACCATCCTGGGGAGGAATCCATTATGGACAGAGCTTCAGTCTCTCCCTGTGACTGAAGGTTTTGAGCCTCATCTTCAGGTTTTCGTGTTGGGCTACAACCTACCAGGTCCCCCAGAGCCTAGTATGGGCTACCCTTCTCCCTCGGCCCTTGGGGCCTTAGCCACAGTGGGGCTTGCCCTGTGAACAGATACCGCCTAGATCTTTGAGGGGCTAGCCTTCCCACCGGCCCCGGGTATGGCCTGATTTGCATTTGTGATTCCTGACCCCTTGAGCCCTCCATGAGGACTCCTTGTGTGTTGTTCTGGATCTGTATAACAGGTGGGGTATTAAATCTGGTGAAATGCTGTCCCCCACCCTTGGCAGGCGATCTACGGAGCCTGCAGCTCCCCCAAAGCAGGCTTCACTGAAGGCCATGGAAGAGGCCATGGCCCAGGACCTGGAGCAAGATCGGAGGCGGCTCCTGGAGTCGAAGCGGGAGAAGATGCAGCAGCTGCGGGAGAAGCTGTGGCAGGAGGAGGAAGAGGAGACCCTCCAGCTTCACCAGCAGAAAGAGAAGTCTCTCAGGTCCTGCCCTCCCCTTAGGCAAGCTGCCGGGGCCTCGCAGTGACATGGGGAGCAAGCGACCCCCCGCCCCCCGCCCCGGAGACCCGTGGCCTCATGGAGACTCCTCCTCCTCCTCCGTGGCCTGTGCGGAGGAAGGGGCTCCCTGGTTCGGGAGGGACTTGGGAGGCGTGGTAATAGTGCGAGTAGCTAACACTTTTTGAGAGACGGCCCTGGTCCCTGTGCTTTTTATCTGGTAATTGGTTTAGTCCTGAGAGTGGCTCTTATGAGGTACTGCTGTCAGCCCCGTCCTGTAGGATCTGTGATACAGATGAAGAGACTGAGGCATGGACAGGCTAGGTGACTTGTCCAAGGTGTCGAAGTTCTTAAGCAGCAGAGCCGGGTTAGCCCAGGCAGCTGGTCCCTGGAGCCCATTTTTCTAACCACTACGTTGTCCTCTCTCTCAGGAGTCAGGGCCCTGTTGGGACCCAGTGAGATTGGTGGGGACCACATGATACAATCTGAGGTGCTATTTCCCAGAACCCAGAAGTTTCTATTTGGGTTCCTGCTCTTTATGTAGCTGGCAGGGACACCCTCGATGAGTTAGACACTTAAGGCTGGGCTGGGTCTGTGTGGATGAGATGATGTGTACACATCTGTAAACAAGCTAGAGGTTATTTTTACAAGAAAAGGCCATCCAGGGCTGGCATGGCGGCTCCAGAGTCACCAGGTCCCTGGCAGTCTTTTAATCTCTCTGCTGCCTTTAGTGCTGGCTACTCTCAGGGTCTCTTCAGAGTCCAGCGTGGCTGCTGGATCCCCAGCCATTGTGTCTGGGCCTCAGGCCGGGAAGAATAGGGACAGAGTACAAAGGGGGTACCTCCCAGCTCATTTGGTCCGTTTTAAGGTACTTTCTTGGAAACTTCACCCAGTAACTTCTGTTTATTCTTAAAGAAGTTCTCTTGGAAAGTTTACTCAATAATTTCCATGCATATTTGATGAGTTACCCCTGGCCACAAAGAAAACTGGGAAATGTAGTCCTTGAGCTGGGTCTCTTTACCCGACCGAATAAAAATCAGTGCCCCCATAGGAAGGGAGCGTGGGAGAGTGGCTACTGAGAAAGAAGTCAGCAGTCTGTCGCAGGCCCAGGGTGGGGCAGAGGCTACAACAAGGTGTTAATATATTTTTCACTTACTTGGCTAAAGGCTAAATCTTTTCCTCTTGGACAGAACATCTAAAAGTGGTAGACTTATTTTTATATCATACATAGCAAAGAGTGCATAAAATGTTTATGCTTAACTTCGACTAATGGAAAACCAACACCCAGCTACCCAGACGATCGGGGATAGTCTCTCTCATTAGCCCAACACAGGATCTGCTGACCCAGGGCCCATCCTTCTATCACCCCTCCTGGATCCCCTGCCAGGCAGCACCTTCCTCTTTCAGCCAAATGAAAATTGGGGCAGGGGCCCACCCAAACAGGGTATGACTTAGCTAATCTTAACAGGCAGAGCCTAGGAGGAAATCCTGGTAGTGTCTCCCTGCCAGCCCACCAGGCTCCTCCTCTCTTACCCTGGGCCTGGCTGACTGTGCTTGCTTTCTTTCTTTCTTTCTTTCCTTTCTTTCCTTCTTTTCTTTCTCTTTCTTTCTTTCTTTCTTTCTTTCTTTCTTTCTTTCTTTCTTTTATTTATTTATTCATGAGAGACAGGGAGAGAGAGAGAGAGAGAGAGGAGCAGAGGGAGAAGCAGGCTCCCAAGGACAGGGAGCCCGATGCGGGACTCGATCCCAGGACCCTGGGATCATGACCTGAGCCGAAGGCAGATGCTTAACCATCTGAGCCACCCAGGCGCCCTGACTGTGCTTTCTGTTCCTCGCCAAACCCCCAGCTCCAGAAGGCCGCCAAGAACTCTCAGGTTGTGGTGAAGGCTAGCATGCCAAAAGTATCTGACTCAGGGCCTGAGACATGGTAGTTGCTCAATAAATGGTAGCTCTTGATTTTGTTTCCAGTTGAAATCACTGGTTTCAGTGGCCTTCATGAAGTGATTTTTCTGTAGGCAGTGCCTTGTGAGACTCACTACGAAATAGTTTATTGCAAGAACCCTGTTTCTGCTTACACATGAGCCTTTCTGAGGGCTGGGGCCGTCTGTGCTGGGCAACTTCCACGTGGTAGAAATTTGTGGAAGCCACAGCTGACCTTGTAGCAGATACTGCTTGAATGAGAAGGCAGGCAGGAAGACAGGAAGGCTGACCCTTAGTTTCTTTAGTCATAAAACGAAGAAACTGAATTTAGTTGTGAGATGAAGAGAGACCGTTGTAAATGAAGGCCGTAACCTCTCAGGCCCCCCCGGCTCTGACATCCTGTCGTGACGTGTGGAAAATGGAGCCGTAGGACAAGGACAAAGGGTTTCCGGGGAATCTAGGAGACAGGATTTTTATTTAACTCAAATTTCCTGTCACAATGGAAGAGAGTAGTGGTGCAGGTAACTTGAAATAGAAAATGACCCTAAGTCTTTTTTGGCTTTGGAATTCACGAGGAAGCTTTTCAAAGACATCATCTTCTGAATTGTGTTTTTCTTAGGCTTGAACTCCCTGAGTGCACAGCACACGGCCCCAGGTCCTGTGGGGGCTGCATGGGCAGGGGGGTATCTGCCTGGGACGAAATGCTACCGTCGTTTGTCCGTAAATAAGATGTCCCTCATGGATCATCGGCGCGTGCTTATAGTTTGGGGCTGGGTGATGCTGTTCAAATTCCACAAACACTTATGGAACACCTACTTCACATCAGCTGCTATGTTCAGCGCCTCGGATATAACAGACTCTAAGACACGGTTCTTTCTCTGGAGAAGCTCCCAGACTTGTAAGGAAAAGAGACACACAAAAGACGAAATTACTATGTGTGGTACAGAGCGGCCTGGGATTAGGAAGGGCCTCGCGGAAAGGGTGAGGGGAACAGAAAGGGCTAATCGATGAACCCGGAGAGACTTGGAGAGGCTTCTCTGAGAGGAGGAAGCTGGGTGCTGAGCGGTGAATATGGCTTTGTCAAATAAAAAAAGGGACTTCTCGGGGGAGGCACCAGCACGAACAAGGGCCAAGAGGCGGTGGCTGGGACCGTTGGTCAGGTTGTGAGTGAGAAGACGCGGCACCAGAGCCGGGTTGGGGTCAGACCGTCTCTGTCCTTGAGTGAATGCCATGCCGGGGTGTACCTGTGGGCAGAGGGGAGCCTCTGGCAGAAATGCTGTTCTGGGATCAAGCAGCCTGTTGTCCTCTTGCTGCCACCAAGGGCAGGAAGCGTTCGTGGCCCCCTCTCACCCTGGAAGGTGTTATAGGGAGGCAGCAGGACCCAGATTTAGGAAACTTCGCAGGCGAGCTACAGGCTTTTGGAGGCCGAGAGTTGGGGATTATGAATAGAAGAGTGGTTCCTCCAACAACCTTGCCTTTCTTTTCCATCCCAGTTCCCTGAAGGAGCAGCTGCGGAAGGCCACCGAGGAGGAGGAGACTCAGATGAGAGAGGAGGAGAGCCGGAGGCTGGCCCAGCTCCGGGCCCAGGTGCAGTCTAGTGCGGAAGCAGATGAGGGCCGCATCAGGTGAGCGCACCGTGGGCTGGCCGCCCCTGGCAGTGCCCCCTCAGTGCACAGGCCCATCCCATCCCATTCCATCTGTCTGTCTGTCTGTCCGCTCAGGGCTGAGCAGGAGGCTTCCCTGCAGAGGCTGAGAGAAGAGTTGGAGTCTCTCCAGAAGGCTGAGAGGGCCAGCTTGGAACAGCGGAGCAGACAGATGCTGGAGCAGCTCAAGGAAGAGGTGGAGGCCTCGGAGAAGAGAGAGCACGCTGCCCTGAATGCCGAGAAGGAGGCGGCTTTGCAGCAGCTCAGGAAGCAGCTGGAGGGGGAGAGGAAAGAGGTGAGCCCGCAGCGTGGAGCCTCCCGTCAGACATGCCCCTGGGCTGCCTGGGGAGGGGCCGGGTGCCAGGCTGGGCGGGGTCGCGGGGGGGGCGCCAGGCACAGAGGAGGTGTCTCCACAGCTGGCACGGGACTTGGAGACAGCGGGTGGGCCGACTGGGCCCGCCACCCCCACATGGGCCCCGCCGTCTGCGGGCAGGGGCTAGCCCAGGTCTACATGGCACGGGGGAGGGGATGGCAGGTGTCCAGGGGTTCTGTCCAGGGCCGGCACTAGCTGGGTGCTGTCCGTGGCAGGGAGGAGGGTGGAGGGGGAATGACGTATGGATTTGGGAAGATTTTGTGACTGAAAGAACTTAGGTCAGACCAGAGGTTCTGAGAAAAAGGTGGCCTGTCCCCATCCCTGTCCCCAAGGGGCATCTGCGATGACCTTTTGTCTCTGCGGCTGTAGAGAGATTGCACACTCAGAGGAGGGTTTTCTCCTTTGTCTTTACTCCCCATGTCTCCAATCTGGTCTGTCTCCTGATGGTCTGTCTCTAGGTAAGAGTAGGAAGTAAGGAACAGTCAGGCCACGTGGAACTTTTTTCCTTGGGTGAAGGTGAGCTTCAGCTTTTAGAGAAGGAGAGACTACAAGAGGTGGGGGAGGGTGTCCCTGTCGCACAGGTGCTCAGGCCCATTGTGCCAGACGTCCAGCCTTCATAGCCTCGGGCCCTATTCATAGGCAGAAGCGTGACCTGTGTACCTGGGCCTAGCCCGGGGGCAGGGGGATGGGAGCGGTGACCTGAGGCTTACTGACACGCCCCTCCACTCGGGTCTTCATTTCCTACTCATTTGCTAGTTGCAGCCTTTAGGGACGGAGTTATTTTGGGGGAACAAAGATGTGTCTCTCTGGTTCCCCTTGGTCCTTTAGCTGGAAGGGAGTCAGGCATGGTCTCCCTTCCTCCGGGGTCAGTGCCCGGCCAGCCTTCCCTGCCCTCCGGCTGTCACAGGCCCCTTGTTGCTCCCCAGGCCGTGGCAGCACTGGAGAGGGAGCACAAGGCTGAGCTGGAGCGGCTCTCTTCCTCGCTGGAGGCCAAGCACAGGGAGGTGAGGTGCAGCTGTCCTGGTCCCTCAGCGAGAGCCTCAAGGCCCCTTCGCTGCTGGTGGGCAGAACTCAGCCCCATGCCTGCCCCTGGGGCAGGAGCCTCCCTCCCCCTGAAGCCCCCTGGGGATGGGTGCTGGGCCCCTGGCAGGCGAGTCCTTGAGGTTGCTTGGCAGCGCTGAGTGGCCCGTCCCCTGTGCTGGGGCCTCCTCAGATTGCCTCCAGCCTCCAGAAGAAGATGAAGGAAGCTCAGCAGAAAGAGGAGACCCGGCTGAAGGAGAGCCTCAGTTGGGCAGAGCAGAGGGCTCATCAGAAGGTTCACCAAGTGCTCGAATATGAGCAAGAGGTAAATGCTGGTGGGCTCCTTCGACCTCACGTGTACCTGTCCTGGGTGCTCCGTCCTGGCCCAGGGGCCCCTCCTTTGCTTTGGAGGGCTCAGCTGGGGCTAGAGTTCTGGTTGCATTTCTATGCCTCCGTTCCCTTGAGATTGGGCACTTCTCCACCCCTGTGCCCCTGTACGTAAGCGGGGAGGGGTGCTGGGTGTGGTGCCTGCACGTCACGAGTCATGCGTGTGGGGTGCTGGGGAGGCGTGCGTGTACCCCACCTTCGAGTGCCTCAGTCCCTTTATGCTGGTCCATCCTCGGGCCTGTGTGTCGCATCCCCGCTGCCTACCCTGCAGCTCAGTGGCCTCCTACGAGAGAAGCGCCAGGAGGTGGAAAGGGACCATGAAAGAAAGATGGACAAGATGAAGCAGGAGCACCAGCAGGTGGTGGCTGAGGCCAGAGAGCAGTACGAAGCCGAGGTGACTTGCCCCTTCCCCTGTGTACACATTGGGCGCGTGCGCGCACGCACACACACAGCCGGCGGTCCTTGGCAGCTGCAGGACGCCCTGCCCTGGTGCAGCCCAGGTTCCCGGTTTACTCCAGCAGCAGCAGGCAGGCTGCTTTCCCTCCCTGAGCGGCTGCGGCTCACAGATACTGAGTTCGTACCCTGTGCTAGCGCTGTTCTCAGTCCCCCGATGTGTGCGGACTCATTTAGTACCCCCAACACCCCGAGGAGGTGCGGACTATCATGACCTCCAGTTGGAAAGTGAAATGGAGACTCAGAAGCGCAAGCACCTTTCCCAAGGGCTCCGGGCTAGTAAGTCGAGGAGCTGAGATTCAAGCCCTGACGGTCTGGCTCCCAAGCCTTCAACTTTAACCACCCCGACACCATGCCATCAGGGTTAACCAAAATTCCAAGACATCATAGACTGGCAAGAGGCAAACACTCCTTAGAGCTGATCTGCCCATGTTCAGCCTTCCCCCTGGTGAGAATGTGGCACCACACCGGGTTGGCTGGCTCACATCGGGGGTGAGCAGGGGTGGCAGTGGGGCCTGACTTTAGCTCCCAGCTGGGCCTCTGCCCGGGATGTCTAGGCTCCTGTTCCAGTAACTGGAACCCGTGTCCCAGCCTGTCCATACGGTCTTTACCATACAGAAATAGCCGACCTGTGATAAAACGTAGCTGGTTCCCTTCCCAAACCGATGCGGACCTTGCTGAAGAGCCTTGCTAATTTATTAGTGACCTCTCTTCCCTTGAGGAAGGACGCTGTGCACAGTGGACAGCAGGACAGGCAGATTTCCACAGGGGGGGCGGTCTCATGGTATCTGAGCGGTGCCTGCTTCCACAGCAGAGAGGGGTGCAGGCTTTCTTGTGGGGGGAGGCCTGGGCGCTTCTCCGTGCTCTCCTCCTCGACGAGCTGGCCCTCAGGAGCTGCTGGGATCCCCGGCCTTACTGACCCGACGCTGGCGGAGGAGGGAAGGGCCGTGGCTTTAGGGGTATGAGGGCCGCTGCAGTTTTCCCGCCAGCAGCCTCCCCTTCTGGGCAGGAGAGGAAGCAGCGGGCGCAGCTGCTGGGCCACCTGACTGGGGAGCTGGAGCACCTGCGCAGGTCGCACGAGCGAGAATTGGAGGCCATGAGGCAGATGCAGGATAGGCAGCTCGAGGACTTGCAGCGTCGGCATCGGGAGCAGGTGGGGGCTCCGGGCGGTCCCCGGGGACCAGAGTGGGTGAGCCCCCTTTGGCACCTCCATACAGGAGAAGTGCTGGGGGCAGGCAGCTGGGGCAGCCGCAGATCTGAGCCTTGACAGCTTCAGGCGCGGGGGTCTCTCACAGGCCATCTGCAGGCCGGGGCACGCGTGGGCCTTTGTTTTCTGGGCCAGCAAACAGCCCCGGGGCTTAGAGGAGGTCAGCCCGCATAGGACTCTGGGTTTGGCGCCTTTGTCTCTCCTTGCCCCCATTGGGAAGACACAAGGTGGTACTTTCCCGGGGGCCTGCAAGGGCAAGTGGGATGAGGGTGTGCTATGGACGGGTGGGTCCAGAGCTCCCTCCTGCCCCCTCAGCTCAGGCCTTGCACTCTTTCTACACTTACATCTTTCACTCTACCTATTTCTGTGCAGGAAAGGAAGCTCCAAGATTTAGAGGTAGAACTTGAAACCAGAACCAAAAATGTCAAAGCCAAATTGGCTCAACTGGACCTCCAGGTGAGAGAGCAGGAGTTGAGGAGAGCATCTCCAGGGACCCTGGACCTTGGAGTGGTAGCGCCCCTGGGAGAGCTTGGGGCCTCCTCCCAGGGCATCTGGAGATGGCCAGATGGCCCAGTTTCTTCCCCATCCCCACCCCCGCAGGAGGAGACAGCCCTAAAGGAGCATCAGCAGCTCCTTGATGTGCAGAGGCAGGTGGCGCTGCAGAGCGAGGTTGGGCTGGCTCCCTTGTGCTCCCGTGTCTCTGCCCCGTTCCCTTTACCTTCCCTCCCTCTCTCCGCAACATCCCACCTTTTGCTCACCCAATCTGTCCCGGGCTTTAGGGTTCCAGACTCTATTGGCAGGATGCCACAGCTAGCCCAGCTGGGGAGTCCCAGGGGGTGGGGCTGTGTGGCGGGCAGCAGAGGCCGCAGTGACTTCAGGGTGCTTGAGTTCCACGCTCGCTCCCATGCACCTCAGGGTCCCTGTGCTGCTGCCGCCTGCCTTGGTCGCGCATGTCTCCAGGTGCTGCTATCTTTTCAGGAAGTCACAGCCAGCTATCAGCACTTGGAGGAGGCAAAGAAGGAGCACACCCACCTGTTGGAGTCAAACCGACAGCTCCAAAGACTCCTGGATGAGCTTCAGGCCCGCAAGATGGAGCTGGAGTCCCAGGTGGATGTGCTGCAGACCCAGAATCGGAGGCTGCAGAAGCACATCAGGTGGTGTGGGCACCCTGCACTTGGCCTCCCCTGCTGCCTGCCCCCTGACACGCCTGGGCCCTGGCTGCTCACGGCCCAACTATCAGGCAGGGGTGGAGCCAGGCAGAGGGGCTTAGCTGCATTTGGTAGGGAGTAGGGGGTGAGAGGTATGAACAGCGGGGGGGGTGGGGGGTGGGGGCTCTGGTTCTACCGGTCACGCCCCAGTCCTGCTGTCTCCCTAAAATCAGGGCTTGAAGCCCACCTCAGCAGTCATGACGGTGTGCTGCCCACCCTGCTTCATCATGTGACCCTGTCTCCCCCTCCCCGCCAAACCCCACCTCCACCCCCATCACAGCGACCTGGAGGCTGAAGCTCAGAGGAAGCAGGACACACTGAAAGAGCTAGCAGCTAAGGAGAGTAATGCCTCCCCACATTCTGAGCCAGATCTCCACATTGAGGACCTGAGGAAATCCCTTGGGACAGTGAGTTTCTCTGTGCTGTGGAAGGGACAGCGTGGTGGGACTGGGGCGGTGCTCCAGGAGGGGTCCTGGCTCTGCTTTATATATGACCTTAGCCTCCTGTCCTTAATAGTCCCAGTTCCCCGGCCCCATCAGCCCAACGATATGTATATGCGAATGGTGCCCAGCAGCTCCCCCAGAGCCATTTCTGTGTTTAGGCCCCTGGGAGGGGCTTTGGGGGGTCCCTTGAGCCGGCGGTGTATCTGATATTCAGTGGGCCTTTTCTACCGTGTGTTCTTAGAACCAGACCAAAGAGGTATCCTCTTCTCTCTCCCAGAGCAAGGAGGAGACCGACTTGTCCTTGGACAGGTGAGTTCTGATAGCCTTAGTTTGGGTCCAGGATTCCATGAAGGGGTGAGTGCCTGCATCACAGACCTGGGGTGAACTGAAATGACTGTGATCACCAGTGGGGCTTGGTTCGGGGACGAGGACCTGAGGGACTGAGGGAATTTCTTTAGCAAGCCAAGAAGGTTGACCCATTGTGACCACTGACACAGCATGCTGGGACCTGCTGCCCTCTGGTTGAGGATCAAGCTGACGGGAGTGCCTGGCCATTTATCTGGAGGCCCCAGGCCCAATCCCTTTAGAGGCAGGGTGGGAGGGCCCTGCAGCATGCCGCACACTATAGCGTGAATACTTGCGTATTCACACCCAGCCCAGCCTCGTAGTCTGTACTCAGGCTGGGCATCTGTCGGGGAAGTGCTCAAGTGACCCAGAGCAGTTCTCAGAGTGTGTGTGTTTTCCCTTCCCAACCCCTCTGCCCTGCCCTGGCCTCCCACAGCGTCCGGCACTACCTCTCTGCCGAGGGGATGGCCCTCCGCAGTGCCAAGGAGTTCCTGGTGCGGCAGACCCGCTCCATGCGGAGACGGCAGACGGCTCTGAAGGCGGCCCAGCAGCACTGGCGCCGGGAGCTGGCCAGTGCTCAGGAGGCTGCCAAAGATCCCCCAGGCACCAAGGCCCTGGAAGATGCGCGCAAGGACCTGGAGGAGGTCAGGGGCCTTCAGGAGAGCCTGCCCGTCCTGCGGGGGCCCGGGGTCGGGGGCTGCTGGGGGGAGCCAGGGCAGCCGTCACTTCTGGTAATTCTGGGTTCCCTGCAGCGTGGTCACATCGGCCCAGGGCCACTGAACAGATGCTGCAGGCTATCGATCTCCGGGAGGATGAAAGCACCTGACATTTATGTGTCAGTGCACAGTGTACAATGCTTTCTTCGTCCTCACAATAGCCATGGGTGATGTGCAAGGCAGTGGTGTTACTCTCACTTTCTAGGTGAAGAGTACAAGTAAGGTTTTTAAAATTTCACATCCAGTGCTTTTCTGGCCCATTCCGTCACCCTAAAGATGTGGTTCATAAGTGAATCTTCTCAGCACACTGGGCATAAGGCTGAATTGCTTGCCTGATAGCCTAATTTCCAGTGAAAAGGCAGAGATTTCATGGTGCCATCTGAGGGCCTTGGCCAGCAGCTCAGGCCTGCTCCCTTAGAATTCTGTTGGTGCCCGGAGCTGGTGCGGGGCAGGCCTACCAGGGGCATCTGCATGCTGCCCTCAGGCCCTCATTGCTCTGCTGCATGCTGAGAGGGAGGGCGGTGGGAGCAGGGACAGTAATAACCCTGGGGTAATGCGTTGTAACTCTTTGAGAATGTGTTAGGTGCGGGCCCAGGGCTCAGCATGTGACACTCTACCTCACTGGATCCTCATGACCCTAGAAAACTAGTGTTTCTCTTCTTGAGAGGATGATCCAGACTGAGAGGTGATTTGTCCAGGGTCACCCAGCCAACAACAACACACAGAGCTGGGACGCCAGCACCTGCGCTGAGCCCCCATGTCTGTCCTCCCCTTTCTCTCTGGCGGCAGGAGACCAGGCACCTGGATGAGATGAAGTCGGCCATGCGGAAGGGCCACGACCTGCTGAGGAAGAAAGAGGAGAAGCTGAATCAGCTAGAATCATCTCTTCGGGAGGAGGTACAGCATGGTGGCCACGGCCTCCCTCTTCCGTTCCTGGGCTGCTGTTGGGTTCTTTGGTCCCGTGGTGGGGGGAGCTGGGTCTCTGGGGCTCCTGGGCTGGGGAGATGGCAGTGGCTTTGAGGTTGCTGAATACATCTGTGCGGAGTGGTCCTGAGCAGACCTCTTGCTGCAGGCTCTTGAGAGGCACTGGCCCTGCCCTCCCAGGGTTCCTGAGGAGAGCTGGGCCCCAGGGTTTGGGAATGGACACATCTAGGCTTCCCTCCTTTTCCTGTGGCCTCCTCCACGGTCCTCTGGATGCTCGAGGTGTGGCAGGAGGGAAGCCTGGGTGGAGCCATCCTGCAGGGGGAGTTTGCTGGGGGCAGGGGCTCTGGTCCTGGGGCCCTGTTGCCTATGTGTCGGCCCACTGTGTCCTCTCAACCCCTGCCTCCTTCGCTGCAAGGCAGCCCATAGGGTGCCCCTCTCCCAGAGCTTCGGGTCCTAGAGAGTCCCTGGCCGTCACATGGACAGTGGGGAGAACACACGAGGGGAGGCACCAGTACTCACTGCTGCTCGTATCCCTCAGGCTTCAGATGAGGACACTCTGAGACGAGCTTCCACCAAGAAGGTGGTGACATTTGACCTCAGCGACACAGAAGACATGAGCAGTTCAAGCTCCGAATCCTGCCCCCTGCCTCACTGTGAGTGGCAGTGTCGGCAGGGGGAGGACCATGGCATCCATGGAGAGAGAGGCGCTTGGGGGGTGCCGAGGGGCAGCCCCCCTCCTTCAGCCCTGCATGGGTGGGCCTACTGGCCCGTGTCTGGAGCAGGCTCTCAGTAACACTTGGGAGGAGTGATCCCATTGGGGTTTGCCAGCACACAGGGCAGAAAGGGTCAGGGGCCACCTGAACATGCAGAGACCTTCCGGTGCCTTCTGAGAGGTGTTCTCCCTCTGCCGCTCTGGTCTGCAATGGGGCAGAGGGCCATCTCCTCTCCCTTCCTTGCCAGCTTCCGAACACAGAAGCCCTGCTGTCCCCCTGGCCCCCATCAGCCGAGGGGCTGTGGTCCGCAGACCAGGAGGGCAGCCAGGAGGGTGCTGCCGTGCCTGGGCCCTGAAGCTGAGTCCTTCCCTTTTAGTCAACCTGACTGCAAGTGCCACCTTCCCCTACAAGTTCCACTACTTGAGCAGCTCCCTGCAGCGGATCAGCAGCCAGCTGAACGGTGTCCTCAGCATGCTGGGCAGTCTCAACCCGCAGCCGCCGCCACCACTCTTCACTTCGACACCGGCGCCCACCCCGCCCCGGGACCTCGGGAGCACCCCCATACCCGCCTGCCCCTCCCTGGCCCGGGTGTCAGCCTGGCCGCCGGCGGTGCCCACATCCACCCAGTGGGCCTGGGGCCCCGGGCTGGGCCCCACGCTCTCCTCCTCCGTGGCGCAAACAGTGGACGACTTTCTGTTGGAGAAGTGGCGCAAGTATTTTCCAAGTAAGCCTCCCTCCCTTCTGCCTCCTCTGCCGGCCCCTTGCCGCCCCCAGCTTTGGCATGGCCCATCCCATTATGGGAGGAAGACTCGCTGGTGGCCCTGAAGCCACAGGCTCTGTGAGTCATGACAGTTGACCTGGCGCTTGGGCTGACTGGAGCCTTTCTGATGGGAGCTGGAGCTCAGCGGAACCTAAAAGGTCATCCCTGTCCTCATTGTAATAGCTGCCATCGTGTGCCTTGTGTGGGGGGCCACGCGTGAGTCCTTCTAATAACCCTCTGAGGTAGTAATATTTATCCCCCCCTTACAGACGAGAAAACTGAGGCTCAGGTTAAGGGATATGCTGCAGGGTACCCAGGGAGCAAGTAACACACTGGGTTTTGGCGCCCCCCCCCCCATCTCTACGACTTCAAGATTCTGCTCGTAACCCCTCGGCCATACAGCTTTACCCCCTGTTTCTGGGCGAGGGGGCCTCACCTGGTGTCAGTCCTGCTGAAGAATGTGAAAAGCCATAAAAACAGTTACTTTGGGGAAAAAGTTACATATCTGTTCCCTGTCTTAACCCAAATAGAAAAGTAGATTAAATTTTACAAATAAATAGGACAGTTCCTGTCTCTCATCTGTCTCCCACCTCCAACCACTGAAACTTGCCCTGTTGTGTGTCTGTGGGAGGCAGCAGGTGCACTGGTGAGCTGGGAGGTGGCCTGCTGGGGCTGGCTTCCACGACCCATTTCTGGATGATTTCCTCCTACTTTTCCAGCTGGAGTCCCGTTCCTCAGCAGCGGCCCCGCCCCACTGGAGAATAGGCTGGGTTATGTGTCTGCCAGGTAAGCCTCCCTGGGCAGGTGGCACCTCCCAGGGGAGAACTCTGGTTACATTACCCAGAGAGCTTGGACAGGTCCCCAGGCCACAAAGTTGTTTGCCTGGGTCTGAGGTGCCTCTCCCACCATCAGAGAAAAGTCTAACCGCACCCCCCCCCCCCCCCCCCCAGCTGAGGTCCCAGTGGCGGCTGGTCTCACCTGGCCCAGCTCTGGGAGGAAGCTGCCTGCTAACCCCTGCAGGGAGAAATCAGCCTTGGCAGGACCCTGCTTCTTCCCCCTGGCCCCTCCTGTCCTTGAGCATGGCTTTTGTCTTTGCCATTGAGCTTGTTGTCTGTTCCCGCAGTCCTGCTGAGCAACATCTGGAGTGAGAAGGGGCACCCTGTGGGAGAGACAGATGGGCAATTACTTAAACCTGTTGTTAATTTCCCATTCATCTTCTTCCTTGCCAAATGTATCTCCTGCCCCGCCTCCACAGGCCCCCAACCATAAGCACCCCCACTTACCCTTTGGCCCACTCAGGAGCTAATGCTGGGCAGGTATTGGAATCAACAGAGGGGAAAGCTTTTGCTGATCAGATTGGCTGGGACCAGGCTGATGTGGAAGCCCTGACGTCAGGAGTGTTGGGCCAGGGTGGGGGGGGGCACCACCTTGTCTTTGGGGAACCATTGCTCATCATTCCAGAAGGGCATTCTTGCCAGCAAAGGAAGCTTGGAGTTGCTAAACCCCCCGCCCCGTGAAGGCCCTGGCTGGTGTGTGGAGGGGAGGAGGGAGAAGCCGGTCGGCTGTGCTGTGCGTGCGTCCCCCCTTCCTCTGGTCCTCGGGCCTCCTCTCTCCCTCTCCTCACGCCGGCCTCCGCCTCCGCAGTGAGCAGCTGCGCCTCCGGCAGCAGTCCCATCCCCACGGCTCCGGCCCTGAGGCGGGCAGCACAGACTTCCAGAGCATGATTGAGGCCAACCGAAAGTGGCTAGAACATTACAGGAATGACCCCAAGTTGTATCCTTTGGTCCCCTCCTGCTGTCATTGCTGGGATGGCTGAGGTGGGCTACAGAGCTCGTGTTTGTGCCCTGGGTCATGGGGGGCGGGGGCGGGGTCCAAGGAGGACCCTGTTTGGGCCTTGGCCCTGCCCTGGACCTGAATAGCTGACTTGACTGCAGAGTTTTCCTTCACCTCGTGGCCAGACATCTCTTCTCTTCAGTGCCCAAGCCGGCAGCTACCTCAGGCCTTCTGCAGCTGGGCCTGGATGAGAACAATAGCCTGAGGGTGTATCGCTACTGAGGCCCCGAGCCTTTCCTGCACCCAGACCAAGTGCCTGAGGAGCTGCCTGCGCTCTAGTCCTTCTGAGAAAGCTTTCTCCTGCCCTATTTGCTGCTGCCTGCCCCACTCAGAGGAACCCGGCGGCGGGGCCGGAAAGGATGGTACCACAGGAATACCGTAAGCCTCCCCCGAGACCACGCATCTCAGGCTGAAGAGTGTGGACTTCTGTGAGCTCCTGCCTGGACAAGGCAACACCGACGTGGGGCCATCAGAGCCCGGGCACCTGCAGGAGGAGGAGGAGGTATTAGGAGTTGCCTTCCAAGGCCAAGGGGCCTGCAGGGCACTCTGTGCTCAGGACTTCTGCGGTTATGTGTGTATGGTCCTTAATTCACCAGAACGAAGCCCCCCAGCATGTCTGTACCCTGGGACCAGGCTCTAATACCTCAGCCTCAGAGAGATCAGACCCTTTTCTTTCTTTTTTTTTGGTAAGTCTCCTTTCTTGAGCACTCCATCTCAGGATTGGGCCCAGAGCCCTGCCAGAGGTTGCTGGAAGTTGGCCCCCAGACATTCTGCTGCCCATCCTCCCTCTGCTGGCTCTGTGCTTTCCTCAGGGGCGCTCCCTTCCCTTCCCTCGGGCTCCTCCCCCCCCAGCTCGAGTCTCAGGTCACAAGCACACAACTTTCAAGAAGCCAACAAGCCACAGGAAAAGTCCGGGATGGCTTTGGGTCCGCATCTTGGTTTTCTCTTTCTGGGCCACCATGGGGAGAGTTGTGGGTTCTTGTTTCCATGCCCCCGGCAGCCCTCCTCCAGGCTGGGCCGCACTGGGCCCAGCTCCCTGTGGTCCCACCTCCCGTCAGACGGCTCCTTGGGGGGCGGGGGGGGGGGTTGCTGTAGCGGATGTTCTTGGACGTCTGTCCTGTCGTTTAAATAAAATGCCCGTGTTTGTCTTGAAAGCTCTGGGGTTGCCCTTGCCTCTCCACGGCACAGACACCAAGTCTCTGTCAGCCTACCATTCATTTCTTTGTCAGGGACTAAGAAACTTTTTACCCCACCCCACACACACTTTTTAGGCATCAGTCTACCATAGAGAAGAAAAGTCCATTTTGCTATTTGGCTCATCCTGTGTGCTTTGGGGCTAGCGCATGTATTAGAACCAACTCTGGTGACAAGCCTGTGTTTTCTACATCAGTTAAATCCCTGCAGGTCCATTTGCCACAAGGCAGTTGTGTGAATGGGTCTCCTCTTTGAAGGCCTTTGCCTCCTTCCTCTTAAGAATAAAGGACGGGAAAGTGAACATTCACAGACCACCTCCTGGGTGTCTAATCTACTCATGACAACAGCCTGTAATCTAGGTGTGTGGATGAAAACCCGGAGACCCGAAAGGGCCTGAGGTCCTGAAGGAAGTCAGTTGCCCGCCCAGCGCAGAGCCCCCGGCCCCATCTGTGCTCCCAGAGCTCCCCGTCCCTGCTGAGTGGAAGCCTTGGGAAGTGCTGATGTGCTCCATCTCTCCCTCCCCCCACCCCTACTGTGCCACCTACCAGCTGGAGACTCGTGCCATCTCCCAAAGGCCATTTGGCATTGTTTGCTGCGTGTACACAAATGAAAGCTAAGCCCCCTGATGTCCTAAGGTGGGTTTTGTTTTCTGCTCCAGTGGTATGAGCCGCCAACATAGTTTTGGGTTTATAGCAACAAAATTGCTGGGAGGACCAACCGAGAAGGCCGCAGTTTCATGGATTTGCATAAGAAAACCAACTACAAATGAACCCAGGCTCCTCCCAGTGTCCTAGCTGCTCTGATGGAGGGAGGGGGGAAGGATGCTAACACGTGTCCAATACCTTCCATGTGCAGGTGCTTTTCAAATATCTCATTTAACCCTCTTAACCTGTGAAGTTGGTATTATCTTATACCTGGGGAACTTCAGGCTCAGAGTGGTTAAATGACTACAGCTCAGGTTCGCCCAGGATTTGAACCTAGATCTACACCTCTCTAAAAGCTGAGTTGTGTTGAGCCTGCTCCCCTAGGTCAGCACCTTCTGTCCTCCTCATTCACAGAACAGTCCTGGCCAGCTTGCTCTGAAGACCTGGGTCCTAGGGAGGGAGTGGCTTCTAGCTGGGTGAACACCGCCCCCCCCCCCCGCAACCCTGCCCGGCCAAGCTTTCCAAAGACTCCAAAACTGCCCCATCTCTCCCTGTAGAGACTGTAAAATCTAGCTGGGGAGTCTGGAATCCTAGACCTGGTAGCTGAATGGAACCTTGCAGATGATGTTCAGCTCACTCATTTTTATAGCAGCAGGAAGAGCCTAAAGAGATAAGGTGAGTTACCCAAAGTTACAGTCAGGGCATGGCAGAAGCAGGACCAGAACCTAGGAGTCCTGCCTCCCAGCCTGGGGCTTCAGAAAAGAGTGTTTTTAAAAAGAGACTTATTTTGAACAGGCTACATGTTCACATGGCTCAGTATTCAAATGACACCAAAGTCAGTCCATCCATGGGCCAGGCTTCTCCTTGAAAGTTCCTTCTGGAGATTTTATGCAAATACCAGAAAAGAAGGGGCAGTGTTTTGATCTTCTTCCCTTTTACTGGTGGGGTAAGAGTCATTCCTAACCTAGGATCAGACAACCTCCCAAAGCTCTTTTGTGAGATGTCCACTATTTTCTTAGGGGAGCAGTGTTGGGAATGGTAGCCCCCCAGCCATGCCAACTTCCACACCAAGTGGCAGCCTGGGGAAGGGATATAACCCTGGCCTTAGGACACCTGGATGTACTTTGGCTGGAACACCTACAACCTGAACAAGTCCTCTCCAGGCCTATGTCTCCCCTGGTTAAAAGCTCAAAGCCTAAACCCACATTCTAGGGATGAAGCAGGGTGGCTGTCTTGGGCGGGGAGCTGCTCTTATCCAGAGGGAGGCTGGAAAGCCCTCAGTGGCCTAAGAGAGGCTCTGGTGGGGAGGGTGAGTGGTGGGGGTTTCCAATCCCACCACCAGCTTTTTTGGGGGGGGAGGTGGAGAAGTAAGGATTAAAAAATAGAGCCCCTGGTATCATCAGTGTCCTGAAGAACGGGAAGGTCCCTTTGTTGCTCCTTTCCACTTGCATCTCCTGCCTCCCCCATTGAATCTGCCATCTCTAGCAGATATGTTCCCCAGAGAGCCCAGTGAAGGGCCATGGAGCACTGCTGGCCATGGTGGAGGAAAGGGGTGCCCGCTCTTGGGAGGTAGGGACAGTGCGATGAGCTCCGCTCTCACAATCAAAAGCAGAAGGGGCATGAGTCAAACAAGAGTTCCCACTTTATCCTCACTGTGCCTCAATTTTCCTATCTGTAAAATGGGGTGACCTATCCCAAAAAGTGGTTGGGAGGATTAAAGAAGTTAATCCGTATAAAGTCCTCAAAAACAGTGTTCAATGCATAGTAAGGGCAGTGACCTCCCCAAGACAGCAACATAGGTCATTCCTGACTTCACGCCCCTTCATAAGAACAACTAGCAACTATTCACAGACAAGACACCACTGAGAGAATTCCTAGAGCACAATGCCGAGGCTGAAGCAGCCCTGCAGCACAGAGACCAAGACAGACTGTACTGGAAGGGTAGGAGAAGCGGCTACCTGCGGACTTTACTGCCCTTCCCCTAGGGTAGCACCACGCTGAGAGGTCCCCCTGAACATACGGTTCTTCCAAGGGAGAAGAGTTCAGGTTAGATATCCGTTCTCCCAGCATTGTGGATCACTTTGTGGGAGCCCCTACTCTGGTTTCACCCCATGGGGATTGCAGGGGAGTCTGTGATGTAAGTGGGGAAGGACTTCCAACAACCAGCACTTAGATCTCGGCCAACCAAGTTCATACTTGCAGGGCCCAAGTAGTAATTGCAACCAGTGGTTTTATTCAACTGCAAAACCAAGTTCGTGGTGCAGTCTGACCGGGGAACTAGGCAGGGTGCAGGTCTGCCTGATTCGGATCCTCCTCCTCAAAGAGGGGTTTGTAGGCACTGTAGCCTGGTCTGCCTGTGCCCAGGCAATAGAGCTGGGGAGAGCCCTAGCAGCTGTGGGATGTGGCTCCTGGCCCCTGCTGACCAGAAAGCCTGGTTTGGGAAAATTTGAGAGTTGCCTGAAGAGGGCTCTCCAAGTCCCACTGAGGCTGGAGAGGCTGAATCATGGCTGCACTTGCTATGGAGCACGGTCCTTGGCCCCATCTGAGAGGAAGGGCTGGCAAGAACACCTGGAATCTTCTGCATAACCCAGCCACACTTGAGCCAAGAGGCAAGTGTGCAGAACTGACCACCCCTAGAGCAAAGCTAGTGGCCCTGTTTGGTCAGGGAAGCATGGGTCAGCTTTAGTCAAGACCACGAAGAGCCTTAACAGCCTTGGAGCTGCTTCTCCCACTGCACCTCGGCAGGGAAACTAAATTCATAGTTCTAGTTACAGCTGAATACAGCCTTCAGCCCACGTGACTAAGGAGCCTTACCAGAACACAGAGGAAGCTGCACGGCCCACCCAACAGCCCTGTTTACAGTGGCACTTGAACAGAGAGCATACATAGCCTGTGGCTTTCCCTATCTGCAGAGCAAAATTGGTGACCTCATCTGACCAGGGTATTCAGTGCACACACTTGCCTGATTTGGGCCCCAAGACTGTGAACCGTGCAGACCTTGGGTTTTGTCCTGCTGTCTGGCCAGGGCAAGGAAGCAAATTCATAGCCTCACCTGCTGCTAAGTATAGTACCCAGTCCTAGGAAGCCTGGACACAGAATTTAGGCAACCATGGAGCTCATCCTATAGCCTCACTTGGGCAGGGAAGCAAGCCAACAGTCCTATCCAGCTGTTTTCAGCCAGTGGTATACCCAACACTCTTATCTCAGAGCTTAAACAGTTGCCTTGTCCAAATAATAGACCCTAATAGCAGGCTTCACCTATCCAAGTCATTACCAGCGGACTTGTCCAGAAGCCCAAACTGAGCTGACTTTTGAAATACTCAAAGCTGACCTTTGAAATACACTTACTCAAATGCAGATACCAACATAAGGAATCAAGGATCATGAAAAATCAGACAAATTTGATACAACCAAAGGAAACAGATAAAGCTTAATAAGTTACTCTAAAGAACTGTTGATCTAGGGGTGCCTGGGTGGCTCAGTCGTTAAGCATCTGCCTTCGGCTCAGGTCATGATCTCAGGGTCCTGGGATCGAGCCCCATGTCGGGCTCTCTGCTCAGCGGG